ATAGAAAGTGGAGAGATCTCCCATGCTCATGGATTGGTAGAATCAACATAGTAAAAATGTCTATACTCCCAAAAGTAATCTACATGTTTAATGCAATTCCCTCAAAATTCCAATGACATTCATTAAAGAGATTGAAAAATCTACCATTAAATTTATATGGAAACACAAGAGGCCACGAATAGCCAAGGCAATACTCAGTCAAAAGAACGATGCTGGAGGTATCACAATACCTGACTTCAAACTATATTACAAAGCAATAACAATAAAAACAGCATGGTACTGGCACAAAAACAGACATGAAGACCAGTGGAATAGAAGGGACTCCAGATATGAAGCCACACAATATAACCAACTTTCTTTTGACAAAGAGCTAAAAATATACAATGGAGAAATAGCAGCCTCTTCAACAAAAACTGCTGGGAAAACTGGTTAGCAGTCTGCAAAAAACTGAAACTAGATCCATGTATATCACCGTATACCAATATTAACTCAAAATGGAATCAAGATCTTAATATCAGACCAAAACTCTAAAGTTGATACAGGAAAGAGAGGAAATACTCTGAGTTAATAGGTATAGGTAAGAACTTCCAAGAACCCAGCAGCACAGCAACTAAGAGATAGCATAGGAAATGGGACCTCAAAAACTAAAAAGCTTCTGTTTCATCAAAAGAAGATGGTCTCTAAACTGAAGAGACCACCCTCAGAGTGGGAGAAAATATTTGCCAAGCTACACATCAGACAAAGGACTGTAACCAGAATATATAGGGAACTTAAAAACTAAATTCCCCAAACTAATGAACCAATAAAGAAATGGGGCAAGTGAACTAAACAGAATTTTCAAAAGAAGAAATTCAAATGGCCAAAAAACACATGAAAAAACTCTCACCATCTCTAGCAATAAAGAAATGCAAATTAAAAACTACAGTAAGATTCCATCTCACCCCTGTTAGAATAGCCACATTAGCAACACACCAACAAAGGTGTTGGCGAGGAGATGGGAAAAGAAGCCCTCTTACACTGTTGGTGGAATGACTAGTACAAACTCTGGAAAAAAATTTGGAGGTACTTAAAAGCTAGAAATTGATGTACCAATTGAATCTAGCAATACCACTCTTGGGATAATACCCAATAGACGTGTGACACAGGTTACTCCAGAGGCACCCGCATACCCATGTTTATTCGGGCAGCTATATTACAATACGCCAAGTTATGGAAACAGCCAAGATGGCCCCAGCACTGACGAATGGATTAAGAAAATGTGGTATGCTATACACAATGGAATTTTATGTAGCCAACGAAGAAGAACAAGTAATTTTATCATTCGTTGGTAAATGGATGGAATTGGAGGAGCATCATTCTGAGTGAGGTTAGCCTGGCCCAGAAGACCAAAAAGTCATATGTTCTCCCTCATATTGGACATTAATCAAGGGCAAACCAACAAGGGGATTGGACTTTGAGCACATGATAAAAGCGAGAGCACAGAATGGAGGGGTGAAGATAGGTAAGACACCTAAAAAATTAGCTAGACATTTGTTGCCCTTAATGCAGAGAAACTAAGCAGATACCTTAAAAGCAACTGGAGGCCAATAGAGAAGGGACCAGGAAACTAGAGAAAAGGTGAGATAAAAAAAAATTAACCTAGAAGGTAACACACATGCACAGGAAATCAATGTGAGTCAATGCCCTGTACAGCTATCCTTATCTCAACCAGCAAAAACCCTTTTTCCTTCCTATTATTGCTTATACTTCTCTTCAACAAAATTAGAGATAAGGGCAAAATAGTTTCTGCTGGGTATTGAGGGGGTGGGGGGGAGAGGTAGGGGGCGGAGTGGGTGGTAAGGGAGGGGTTGGGGGCAGGGGGGAGAAATGACCCAAGCCTTGTATGCACAAATAAATAATAAAAGAAAAGATAATAAAGGGAAGAATGTATTAGTGCTAAAAAAAAATAAAAAGGAAAGAAAAGCCAGGAATGGGAACAACAAAACCACATGCTGTGCATTTATGTCATATCATGCGTTTTATTCATAATCTCATTAAATTCTCACAACCAAAAAATAATAATTAATTGTGCCTCTTCTGGGATTTTATTTAATTTCAGTCCTAAAATGTGAGTTGGAGTAAACTGAAAGTAAATTATAATAAAAAAATTCAATCAGAAGAATGACATTAGCAAAGGAGATATGTAACAATTAAATGATATTACAGTTGAAATGTGTCTTGCAATATTGTTGGAGATGTACGCAGAGAAGCATGTTGGTGTCAGAATGAAACTTTTGTTTCTACACACACATATATAGTTTCAACTTTATTCTCTTTTATTATTCTACTTTCATGCATGTGTATGAGTACTTAGATCACATTCAACCCCACATTACCCTCCCACCTACTTGTTCCCACTCAACAGATCCCTCGACTTATGCTCATGTCATTTTGCTTTTTAGGTCTATATTCTGTATAAACAAGAGAATATGCAAAAGTTCTCAGTCTGGCTTTTTTTATTTAACATGGTGATTCCCATTTCCATTCATTTTCCTATAAATATCATAACTTCATTCATCTTTATGGATGAAAAATATTCATGATGTATATATACCATTTTTTTATCCATTCATCAGTTGGTAGACACTGACTCAACAGTGTGGCAGCTGTGAATACCGCCACTGTAAACATGGGTAAGAAGGTATTTCTACTTATGCTGACTTCCTTGGATATATGCCAGGGAATGATACAGCAGGATCTTATGGTAATTAATGTTTTTCTTTATACAACTGATAATCTTTGAGAGATCATTGGTTATTAGCATAGATTTGATATAGTCAGTTTCGTGATTGCAGTTTGAAAAAGTCTGAAAGTTGGTTGATATATGAATTTTAATAGGGAAATGTAGAAAGAGAGTAAATTTAAGAGTAACTGCAATCATTTAAGTGAGAGATAATTGACACATTTTCTCAGATCAAAGGATGCACCAGAACTCCCCTCAAATTTCTTTGTCTTTGGGAATTTTGTCTTCTTTCTACTTTTAAGCCACAAATAAAGTCCACTTAATGATCTCCAGAAGTCTGTCTCTATAGAAAAAGCTATAAATTGTTTTTACCACTAACATCAACTCAATCCAAACTGATGTTACTCAAACAGAAGCTTCTTTTGCATAGCAAGAAGATATAAACTATGAAGAAGTCACCATGCTCAACTGTGCATTTAAGACATAAGAAGGTACATTGTGATGTTACACTTGCATTCTGTTGTCAGACTGATACTCTAAGGAATATTTAATTTAGGCATTCTCTCTTGTATGGTTCTCCCTGTGTCATGGGTCAGGCACTTGAAGCTTTCTTAGTTCCATTTCTTTTCCCTATATATTTGGGAAGGACTTGTTCCAAAAATGGCAAATGGCAACCTAAACTAATTTCAAGATAAGAACTCTCTCTTCCTTTCTCTTTCTCTCCCCACCCCCTCCCAACACACACATGCCCTCCCTTTCATTCAGTTTTACTGAATACTTCTCTTCAACTTCAGGATATGCCATACTGTAAATCACTTCTGTTCTCTTTTTATCAATGGGAGTGAAATGGGTCCTCACTAATAAACCTACTGCACTGAGGAAAATTTGCAATAAAAATACAGTAAAATGATATTTTAAAACTTACATTGCAATGAAAAGAAGACAGTTTGGCATCTCTGACAGAAAGCCTATTTAAAAAAAGGCAAAACTCTATGCCAAAAATCATCTCTGAAAGTAATTACTAATGAATACTTCAGTTTTTCATTTTGTGATGCGTAGGTGAAATATCTAAAAAATATATAAAAGAATGCAATAACTATATTATAAAAGATACGATGTTTTCTGTGACCAACAATTTTTGTCAAACTGTAAAGTTCTAAAAACTTTGAAATTTTATTAGTACAGTATGATACATCACTGAGTCATCTATGGCCACATAGAAAGTTTCCTCTCTTAGAAAGATATGAAAAAATATTTTAAATGTTTAGTATGAATTAGAAATTATAGTATTGGATTTAGCTAAAAGTTTGTTTGAAAGGCAATCTCAGGCATGATTACTAAGAAGTTGGGAATGAAACAAAATAAGAAGAAAGTCAATAAGATATTCATTAATGTAATTAAAACATTCTGAAATTAAATTTGGATACTGGTTACAAAACTCTGTAAATACAATAAATATGAAGAAAGCTATTAATTTTTTATTTATGTCTCTTGTGTGTTACAGGTAGTTCACCAGTCTCTCCATTTTTTGAAATTTTACCAGGGACTGATAATGATTTGTGTTATGTTTTTCTCATATTTACTGACATGATCACATTAGAAATTTTATCAATACTTTGTCAAAATGCATTGATTTTTAAATGCAATAATTGCCTTTCTTTTGCAGAAAATTTATTAATCATTCCACGATAAGTTCATGAAGGAATTTAGTATCCAATTTGGCTTTCATAGAATGCTTTTCCCTGGTTTCAGTACCATTGTAGAGCTGGCAACAGATAATGAGTTTGACTGTAGAGACTAAGATGAAAGATGAATAGCATGCAGACTGCAATAACTTTGAAATTAAGGAATATCACTTAAATAATAGTAATATTGGCAAACAGATAGTTGAAGGACAGAGTTAGAAAATATTAATTCATGGGTCAAAGCCTGAAGAAATGTATGACATGAAAATCTTCCCTTTTTTTTCAAACCTATGTATAATTTTACTAGTGACATGATAAACATCATTGTCCCACACATTCAGTAATCTTGCTACATCTTTTACTTGAACCAAATACACTCCATCTTCTATCACTCTCACTGAGAAGAACATATATAATCTATTGAAATAAGTAGATTACCCAAGGGAAACACTGAATATGAGTATAGGAGATGCTAATAATGGCCAAAGTAATGTCTGAGTGGCCCTTTCCTAGTGTCAATTTTGGGCACCCCGAGAAAGATACAAAGTGAAGAATAGCCTCAAAGAATTTATAAATTTTCAAATACATTTGAGTTACTTTTTCTTTACAAATATTCTCACAATTGCCTCTCTAATTTGTTTTGTCCTGACTCCATAAATGACTGGATTTAAACAAGGAGGAACAACCACATACAGATTGGCCAGAAGGATGTGAATGTAGCGAGGGATATTTCTACCAAACTGGTGAGTCATGAAAGAGAAAAATGCTGGTGAGTAAAAGGCCAATATGACACAAACGTGTGAACCACATATGCTAAGTGCTTTGAGTCTGGCATCCCTGGAAGGAAGGTGGAAAACAGCTTGTAGGATCTGAACATAAGAGAATGCAATGAGAATTAAGTCAAAGATCAGGAAAGCGATGGTAAATAAGCCATAGAAGATGTTGATCCTTATGCTGGCACAGGCCAGATGAGCAATTCCCATGTGTTCACAGTAGATATGAAGGATAATGTAGTGTCCACAGAAGGGCAGTCTTTTGAGAAGAGGGCAGAAGGGAATGACAAGGAGGCCTGGCCTTCCCACTACAACAGAGGCCATGATAGCTACCACCTTGTTTGTGAGGATAGTGGTGTATTTTAATGGGTAACAGATGGCAACAAAGCGGTCAATTGCCATGGCCAAGAGCACAACAGACTCCATACCAGTGTAGGTGTGTATAAAGAACATTTGAATGAGGCAGCCTTCAAAGCTTATCTCGCTAAGGTTGAACCAGAAGATATCCAGCATCTTGGGAATGGTAGAAGTGGAGAGACCTAGATCAATAAAAGAAAGAAGAGCAAGAAATTAGAACATGGGCTGATGAAGGCTCTGCTCCATCTTAATCACACACAGGATTGCAAAATTCCCCCCAAGTGCTATCAGATAGATAAACAACAAAGAAAGGGAAGGTAAAATCCACACATGGAAAGCTTCCAGACCTGGGATGCCCAGCAAAAGGAAGGCAGAGGGATATGAAGCAGTGTCGTTGACAGAGGTCATCCTTCAAGGGCTCTTGGAAGATATTCTACTGTCTTTTTCAGGATTTCTGGGGAGATATGAAAATGATATATGGTAGTTGAATGTTGCTGTATATAGTAGTATGTCAAATAAACTCTTAAAAGAGCAATATAAATAAATAATTGGGGAATTAACTATCAAAGATATTGAAATTATTCACTATCCCACTTAAAATTGTATGAGAATTGTGGAAGTTAGAAACCATCTTCTCTGGTAGGTATATGTTATAATGATTCATGATCTTCTTTAGCTTATTCTTTTACAAAACACTCATCTACTTAAACTACTAACTGAAATTTCTTCCAGTAACCAGAACTTTTACACATCTTCAAGTTTCATTGGTTACAGATTTTGCTCAGTCACATAAGAGAAAGCTCCCCCAAAATGTTCTATAAAAACAGGTAAAGAATTGGAAAAGAAAGAGATTTTTGGAGGTGATGGTCAAGAAGAAATACACATAAGAGCCCATTAGGTACTCATACTAGCTGTTCTCCAGGTGTGACTTCTTTCTTTATTTGCGTTGTCTACATAATGTTCATATCTATCACTCAGTGAGACTGGATTTGTACTTTGTTTGATGAATAAAGGATTATACTTGTTATCCTAGCTACTCAGGAGGCAGAGATCAGGAGGGTTGTGATTCAAAGTCAGTCCAGGCAAATATCTTAGAAAAACCCATCACAAAAAAAGGGCTGGTACAGTTGTTCAAGTGTAGGCTCTGGGTTCAAAACTCAGTACTGCAAAAAAAAAAAAAGAAAAGAAAGAACGTGAATTGAGAAGGTGCAGATGGGGCAGAAATATTCACAATCACAATTTCTGACAATGGAAATGTCATAATAAAACACCCTATATAGCTATCTTAAACAAACAAAAATACCATTTATTTTACAAAAATGATGAACAGGAAGGCAAAACAGGTCCTGTCTGGAGAGCTGGCACCAGTGGGAGCAGGGAGGATATAAGGAAAGAGTGTTGGAGGATGAATATAGTGGGAATATTATGTACACATGTATACAAATGGAAAAGATATACCAGGAATGGTGAGAGAGAAGATAAAGGAAAATAAGGGAGGGAATGAATTCAACTATGATATATTGTAAGACCTTTTGGAAATATCACAATATGCCACAGTACAACAAAAATAAAAATAAAAGATTAAAAAATTGTGCTAAAAACATAAAAATACACTTACAACTGAAGAATATGAAAGCAATGGGGAAAGAAAATAGACTTAAGCTGACACTATGTACTTATATGCATTAATGGCATTAAAATGCTTAAATCATTAGACATCAGGACCTGTGTATGTAACATGAAATGGCATATTACTGCACAGTCAGCAGGAATGCTAAAACTAGAAGGCATAACAATTCCAACTTTTGGTGAGGTTGTGGAGCAATGGGTTCTCCTACAGACAGTGTGAAATGAAACAAGCAAATTTTTTGGAAAAGTAGTGGCTTCTTATGAGTTTATTAATGCACCATACTCATCCTTCCACACAATTGAGCTCCAAAGTGCTTACTCAAGACACCTGAAAGTATATGTGCACTTAAAGACTTGTGAAAGTATATTTATACCAGATTTTTTTATGGTTTCCCCAGAGTGGAAACACAAATACTCACCAAGAAGTGAACAAACAAATCAATCTTGTTTACATAATGGAAAAAAGATGGATTGATGACTTTTAATGAAAAACAAAAATGACAGAGCAACACTTATTAGTTATATGGTTATATGAAGTTCTAGAACATGAAATGAAATTCTGTGTTAAAGTACCAGGTAAGTTATTACCAGGAGTTGAGAAGAATCATGGAATCAGTTGAAAGAGTACAAATGGATGCTTTAAGGTACTGAAAATATTCTATTCTTTATAGTGGTATAGAATACATAAGCCTATACATTTATTGAAAATGTACAGGTACAACTTGTGTACTTAAGCATATGTAAATTTTATCTTAAAAATGCAAATCCAAACCTGCAGAAAAAAGCAGAAGGTTTATGGTTGCTGAAATTGGATGGTGAGTATGGTTTCTCTACTTCATTTGTAGATGTTTCAAATTCTTCATAATAAAATAAGATATAATTCTAATCTAAATGAATGTCATCATTAATGTCTGTAATCTAAAGTACAATATTATTCTATTTATAAACTATTGAATTTTGGAGCTTATTTTAGAGATTGAAATTTTTATTTCAATAGAATAATTTATGTCACTCAATAAAGAGACCCAAAAGAATTAAAATAAGATCACTACATTTCAGTGACACTAAAAAAGAATAAAATAAATAACCCATGATAAGATTTAATATTCTGTAATGATTTCTATTTTGATGGTACTTACCTTTAATTCCTGATATTTTCCTTCTTATTTGTACTCTCTAAGCATTCTTCTTTGGATCTGTGCTTCTGCCATCATGAGAGGGCAATTATCATTTCAGTTTTTGTCACAATGGCAACACTAATTTTAGAATAACATATATTTCATATATATACCAATAATGATATCATATGTCTAAAGTTTAAAGAATACTTAAACATACATAATTAATATTTATTGGCCCTCAATATATATAGAACCAGAACATACCACAGTACTCCTGTCATTCATTATCTATTGGTAGATGTAGGTGCAGCAGATGAAACAGCCTCTACCCTGCACCTGGCCCATCCCACTGCCTTTCCCAAAAGTTGTGTGGGTAGGGGTGTATTTAAAGGTCTAATGATTTACATGGTTTCAAATATAATATAATGTAATATGATATGATGTGATATGAAATAACAATGTGATGTGGTGTGATATAATAAATATAATATAATAATCTTAACAGACTGGTCTTGTTAGCTGATGTCTGCTCAGTGTCTGATTCACTCATGTACTATGGCCATATTAAAACACACTTCTCTACTGTAGATGATTGGGTATCAGTTCATTGGTTGTTCAGGGCTACTCTCTTTAGGCCCAAGGAAACCTGGATTTATGTATTCACTCTTCCAGTTACTAATAACATTATATAAACCATTCCCTAAGCCTAGTTTTATTTATCAGTAGAAGTTGATAGAACAGAATGAACAAAATGGATATCATCAGTATCACATTGCATTGATAGTTAGAAAGGATATTGCATATGATGTACTTAATAAAATGCCTTGACACTGGGTGTTTATTAGTGCTAGAAAGAAAAATTTGTCATTATTATAACCCATGGGTATAGTTTTTGGTATTACTATCTGCATTGTAAATAAAGCACATTGTACTAATAGTAGAGATGGAAATTCATTATTCTAGAAGAAACCATGTGAACTGAGTCCTCACCATTCAATCTAAATTTAAAATAAAGTCCCTCATCCAATTAGATTTGGAGCCTATGTTTCAAAGCAGTTTCATAATATTCTGTATACCGTGCATATTTAGTTAGAGAATAATTGGTAAAACATTTAAATTTCCTTCATTGACACCCATTCTGGAAAGATTTTTTTCCTGGAGCAAATTTACAAATCACTCGAATTGCATTAGAATGAATTCCATCTGAGGAAAATAGGACTCTAACTCAAATTGCTTTTTTATCACTCAAACTATGAAAAATGCACTGAATTCCATTTGAACAAACTAGGACTCTAATCCAAATTTCCTGTATGTCACTCAGTCTATGAAAATCACTATCATCTTTATGGATGTGGTACTTTCATTATGAAGGCATGGTAGAAGATTTTATTGCCTTGAATGATTCATAATAATTATACAAAAATAGTGTTCTGGTGCATTAAAGTAAAATCTGTTATATATGCATAATCAGTGTTATTTTTATTGTCCATCCTATGACAAAAAATCAGATCTTAAATTTCTGGTTGGAATCAACTTTTGCTCACTGCCTCTCATCTTGTGATGTTTTGTACAGTTAGGCCTTCTCTCTTGTGAGCAGATACACCTACTAGAGCTTTGAATTACTAAACTCTAAGTCCCTCTCAGGTCACACCTCACATTTTTTCCTGACCACTCATTGCTTTCCCTTTCACATGTGTTGTCAGGTCATTTGAAGTTCTGGAGCATATGATACATTCTTTCTCATCAACACTAAGTATTTTCTGTCAGTTTCACTTCTTCAGCTTTCCAAAGTAGTTTTCATCCCACATATCTACATCTTTTTCTTTCATTGACTACTGTCCCTTCATTCATCTATCAGATATGCCTGCTCAAAACCCATTTAGAACCTCTGCAAAAACTTTTCTTCCAGTGGCTGTGGTTGTTAAAGAAAAGTTAGAGTGAAATCAATGAAAGTCTCTTCAGGGGAACCATGTAAGTTACAGGGAATTCTTTCCTGTATCTTAGTTACTTCTCTTCTCCATTTCCTTTAATAGTTAGTTAAACTTGCATTTTCCCCACATTTTGTCTTATTTATAGGTATACTCCTTAACTTTTAGTATTTTCTATCTTGTTTTCCCTTTCTTCTCTTACTTAGTTGTACATCAGCTCTTTAAAACTTGAAGCTAATACTTTATTTCTGCTTGTCATCTCCTTCCAGTCTGCAGTCTCTCTCTCTCTCTCTCTCTCTCTCTCTCTCTCTCTCTCTCTCTCTCTCTCTTTCTCTCTCCACCCTCCTTTCCTCATCTCCAGTCTCCATATTTACATCTTCCCCACTCCTTCAGAATTTCCCCCATTTTAAGTAAAGTTTATTTGAAAAAGCATTTCTTAAAATTGTTTATAACATTATTTCCATTTTTCCTATTTCATTCACTACTCAATGGCCTATAAAGATTATTAATAGACTTTTGTTTAACATTGGAGTTTCTTTTGCAACAATGCTCATTTGTCTCTGTTTCTAAAAATCTTGAATATAGTCTGAATTTATGTTATTTGTATCCTTGAATCAATGAACCATTATTGGTCATTTTCCTTTCTAATAGTCCACTAATGCAATATTTACTTTTTAAAATTGCTTATTCATTTATTCATATGTGCATATATTGTTTGGACCATCTTTCT